CGGCCGGAGCCTCCCTGATGAGCGCTGCCCAGTGCTGTGGCACCCAGTCCCATCGACCGCCCAGGGGCTGAGGAGTGTGGGCGCATGGAGCGGGACTGGCCGGCAGCTCCACCTGCAGCCCCAGTGCAGGATCCACTAGGTGAAGCCACCTGGGCTCCTGAGTCTAGTGGGGACTTGGAGAACCTTTGTGTCTAGCTAAGGGATTGTAAATACACCAATTGGCACCCTGTGTCTAGCTCAAGGTTTGTAAACACACCAATCAGTACTCTGTATCTAGCTAACCTAGTGGGGATGTGGAGAACTTTTCTCTCTAGCACTCTGTGTCTAGCTAAAGGATTGTAAATGCACCAATCAGTACTCTGTGTCTAGCTCAGGGATTGTAAACACACCAATCAGCTCTCTGTAAAATAGACCAATCAGCTCTCTGTAAAATGGACCAGTCAGCAGGATGTGGGTGGGGTCAGATAAGGGAATAAAAGCTGGCTGCCTGAGCCAATAGTGGCAACCCGCTGGGGTCCCTTTCCATGCTGTGGGGGCTTTGTTTTTTTCACAAAACCACGAAGGTCTTTGGCTTCACTTTTGAAGTCAGCGAGACCACCAACCCACCAGAAGGAAGAAACTGCGGACACATCTGAACATCTGAAGGAACAAACTCCAGACACACCATCTTTAAGAACTGTAACACTCACCGTGAGGGTCCCGGGCTTTATGCTTGAAGTCAGCGAGACCAAGAACCCACCAATTCTGGACACAATACCATTGGAGGAGCACATTTCAAGTTTTCTGCCTTAGACATAACAATTTACAGGTACTTAGTATGCTTCACTGGACAATAGAACTAATATTCAGAGTGTCAAAGGGCAATTAATTCTTGCCCTCTGCTTCAACCTATAGTGCTGTGTACCCCTGCATGGACTCATAAGGGAAACATACATTTTATTATAGAATAATATTAATCAAGGACAGAAATAACCAGGAAAGCATAATAAACCTTCATGACCCCATTGTGCAGCTTCAGGAATTTCCAACCCATGGCTAAAGTTGTTTTATCTCCCACATTTTGAAGTAAATTTAAGATAATCTGTAAATAATTATATAACATCTTTAATTTCCACATTCATCCTCCCCCAAGGGTGTGGTGGTGAAAGAAAGTAGTAAAGATAATTTATCAACACCATAAGCAGAATTGCTTATTTAAAAATTATAGAGGCCAGGCTTGTTGGCTCAAGCCTGCAATCCCAGCAGTCTGAGAGATCAAGGTGGGACGGTCCCTTAAAGTCAGGAGTTCAAGACATGCCTGGGCAACAAAGCAAGACCCCTGTTTCAATAAAAACTTTATAAAAAATTGGCTGGGCATGGTAGTTCATGCCTGTAATCCCAGCACTTTAAGAGGCTGGGGCAGGCAGATCTCTTGAGCCCAGGAGTTCAAGACCACCCTGGGCAACACAGACCCTGTCTCCATAAAAAATATAAAAATTAATTGGGCATAGTGGCATGTACCCATAGTCCGATCCTACTCAGGAAGCTGAGGTAGGATGATCGTTTGAGCACGGGAGGCTGAGGTTGCAGTAAACCATGATCACACCACTGCACTCCAGCCTGGGCAACAGTAACACTCAAAAAAAAAAAAAGGTGCGGCATAAAAAAAAAGATACAATGAAATCTGGTTAAAAGCACTTTATTGATTACAGGATCAATTCACATCATTTCATAAAGCCACTGTACAAATAGAGGAATGAATCACTGTGTAAGAAACATCTAAGAACAGTTAAATCATGATACAAGTCCATAGTTTATATGGTTTAGAGCTTTAAGAGCCTTAATCTAACATGTTTACCCTTCCCATAATTAGACTACTACTGACATTCATGTTCAACTGACCACAAGTGTGTACAAATCATTCTAGGTAAAGACAAACATTTTCAGAATGTTTTAACAGGAAAATAATTTTAATCAACTTTAAAAACACACTTACATGTGAATGCCTTTGGATAGGAAAATAGAAATGCAAGTGTTCAGATGCTTCTTTGAAAAGAAAACAATAGGATAAAGCACCATTGTGTAACAGACAAAAGGCTTGAGATATCTACCAAGTATATCACTGAAGTTCTATTAATTAAGAAATACTGTACGATGTAAGATTTTTGTTGAATACATTTAACACCAGTTGGAACATAGCTTTTATCCCCCCCCGTAATGCTGCTTTATCACAACTGTATTTTACAAAATCAGTAACTGGATTTAAAGAAGACATAGGAGATTTTATCAACATGCAAACATTTGCTAAATACAAGGTGTACCATCAATGTGTGATTAATAAGTTACTTTTTAAAAATAAAGTGCTAGCTTAGATATTCTATAAACCATTTCACTGAGTACCTATTATGTAACCAATATTTTAAAATATACACTGAATCTGAGGCAACCCAAAATGAACAATGGAAAGAAAACTAGTAAATCTGAAATGTACTTCACATTCTACTTAATCTAATTTAAAATATAAATTCATTGTGCAACCCATAAGATAGTCCAACCTGTGGATATTTTTAAAAATTCTAACAGAAGAAATCATTTAAAATTTTGCTTTTTCACAATGGCAGAAAGGAAAGAATCTGAACATAATATTTAATTAAAAAAAAAAATTCAGCCTGACTCAGACCCTGAAGATTTTAGAAAGAACATCTTCACTATTAAAATGATGACAGGCCCAAATGGGGGACTGTTTAACCAGTTTTCCTAAGTTAAACCAAGAATAAGCCACAAGTATTCATTGTGTTACAACTTAGATCTGAGACATTTACATCAAAGCATATTTCCCTGAACATGTTCACATTGAAAATGCTTAAGGTCTTAAATTATTATTAAATCCAAAATACCAAGAGTATTGGAGGAGCTCAGTTATACAATACTGGCACAGCATTTTTAGGCAATAATAAAAGTTTCACTTTGTCACCTTAAGTCAAGATCCATTTATTAATAGGTTAAGTTTGAAATTCTGTAACATATTCTAGAAGCACCTACATCCATTATTTCCAGGAGACTAGTTTACTATTATCATGCAATCTCTGAGGTCATATGAGTCTAAAATGAAGGGAACTGCTGAACAGGCCCTTTTGCTGATGAGATATGAAGCCCAAATCTTTGCCTCTGAAGATGCAATTCAATGTGGTATGTGTAATCACAAGTAAAAACTTGAGCTAGGGAAGAATCCTGGATATTCAGTCTAAATCTCAAACAGTATAGCTGCCAAAAATGAGGCCTGTCCATTAAAGTGGAGGAGACATCCTTGCTGATAGCAAAAACTGCTTTTTATTTTATTTATTTATTTTTTTGAGACGGAGTCTTGCTCTGTCGCCCAGGCTGGAGTGCAGTGACGTGATCTCAGCTCACTGCAACCTCCGCCTCCCGGGTTCAAGCAATTCTCTGCCTCAGCCTCATGAGTAGCTGAGATGACAGGCACCCGCCACCACACCTGGCTCATTTTTGTATTTTTAGTAGAGACGGGGCTTCACCATCTTGCCTAGGCTGGTCTTGAACTCCTGACCTCATGATCCACCTGCCTCAGTCTCCCAAAGTTCTGGGATTACAGGCATGAGCCACTGTGCCTGGCCAAGAACTGCTCTTAAGCAGGTTTTTGGGATGATATGCTAAACACCACAGGGTGATCACATATTTAGAAAAGAATATGTATCTCTAAAACATTCTTGCCAGATCTCAAAAAATTACTCTTCTTGACATGCTACAGAGTCGACAAATTAACCTTCTGAGGCACATTATGTTTAAATGTTTCCTAGAAAGTAAAGAAGGAAACCTGGCTGGGCACGGTGACTCACGTCTGTAATCCTAGCACTTTGGGAGGCTGAGGCCAGTGGATCACTTGAGGCCAGGAGTAGGAGATCAGACTGGCCAAGATGGCGAAACCCTGTCTCTACTAAAAATACAAAAATTAGCCAGGCATGGTGGCATATGCCTATAGTCCCAGCTACTTGGGAGGCTGGGGCACAAGAATCACTTGAACCCGGGAGGCAGAGGTTGAGGTTGCAATGAGCCAAGATCGTGCCTCTGCACATGCCAGCCTGGGTGACAGAGATTCTGTCTTTAAAAAAAAAAAAAAAAAAAAGGAACATTAACTGCAATATTCTGGATGATGCATTTTTTTTAAAACTAAATCCAGCCAGATTTTTCAGCCTTAAAAAGTAAGATCAAAAATATTCAACATCTCTACAAATTATATACTCATTGAATTCAGGACCAGTAACAGAATTAAACAAATAATCAGCTCAACTTAAACTGCAAGTAAACAAATATACTTAGCAACTGGAGCCTCTAATATTAGAAAGCAAAGGTGTAACCAGGAAGGTAACTGTGGTAGTGAAGCTACTCTGTGGCCATTTGTTTATGTGTATAATTAACCACAAGTGTTAAATAGTTTTTAGTCGCTGAATAAATGTTTAATTATGGGAATTGCTTTAAACTCCTCTTCATAAACTTTAAGAACATTAAAATAAATGTCATTTTGAAATATGTTAAGGCCATATAATTCCTGTGGTCTGTATGCCTCTGACTACTATAATAACTTTTAAGTAGAGGAGATTCTCTCTCATACATTTAAGGTTATTTTTGTGCATAATACAATTGCTTTCTTGAACAGGACTTCAGAATAAATTTCTGACTAACCTACATGGCGAACTTTCCCCAACCCTCTTTTTCCGGAAATGAATACATTCCTTTATTCTTTTCTTAAAGAGCTGTTCTTTATGAAGTGATATAAACAGCCTACAAATAAACATTCATAGCATTAATAGCAAAAGTTCATATAATTTTTAAAAATTTTTATTTTATTTTTTAAATTTGAGACGGAGTCTCACTCTGTCGTCTAGGCTGGAGTACCGTGGCACAATCTCGGCTCACTGCAACCTCTGCCTCCTGAGTTCAGGCGATTCTCCTGCCTCAGCCTCCCAAGTAGGTGGGATTACAGGAATGTGCCACCACACCCAGCTAATTTTTGTATTTTTAGAAGAGATGGGGTTTCACCATGTTGGCTAGGCTGGTCGTGAACTCCTGACCTCAAGTGATCCGCCCACCTTGGCCTCCCAAAGTGCTGGGATTACAGGTGTGAGCCACTGCACCCAGCCAAAAAGTTAATAGAAATCTTAACCAAAATATAAATATACATTCATAACTGCCATCTACGATATTCTGTTTTGGTCCTATATCTTAATTTGCCTTTATCCATTTTATTATTCTTCTAATTGTCAACTGATTTTAATAAACAAAACTGATACTGATGTCTTTACAGTTGATGCATATATTAGCACATTCACAATATAAACAAAAATTCAGAGGTAAAATTTGGGAGTATTTAGGTTAAGGTTACACATGTTCAAAAGTTAATACAGACCTATCTGAAAAGTAACTAAGTTACAAAACAATGCACGTCTATATATCAGAATAATCCAAGACTTAACCATCACGCAAGACTAACAATCTTCTATTATAAATCATTCCGACTTATTTGTAAAAGAAAATCCAACAGGAAAAGTATCTTTAACTTGGTGGTGGGGGACATTCTAGTAATAGACACATTATTATACCACAGAAGAACTATTTATCTCTAACTCCTTTAAGAACTGCTTTAGGAATTTTTATTTTGGCTTTAAGTGGAATCACTTAGATCTAGATATCCTTTGAAGCAAAACCACTTAAAAACCAGTATTTTGTGCTAAGGAAGGGAATATTACAAAATATTGCAAAACAGAACAAAAAGCTTAAGGGTTTCATTTTAAGAAATGTAAAGGCACAGATATTTCACATCGATTCAGATTTTATAGTACGCAAACGTGAAATAAACCACCATATTACAACAAATATGTCTTAGTGATTGGTTAGATTTCACACTTCTCTCCAAATGTAACACTGTCACACTGCATTTCCTCTCTAAATGTATACTGATAGCACTGGGAAAGATGTTCAGATGCAGGGACAATCCCAATGTTTACCAAACTTCTGAAAGATGAATATACACTACAAACTTAGTTCCAAATATGACATGAATAGGAAAGTTCAGCCATTTAGGGGGGTACTAAATCATAACCAGATCATAACCAGGCTTTTAAAATGTGAAGAACCATTTATATGCTATTATCTACTTTTTATTAATAAATTCCAAAGAAGTTTCTTATGTATGTCCAAAATATCGGTGAAATCTCTAATCTCTGGCCTTCAGATTATCTGTCCCCTCAAAGGACTGAAAGCGAGCACTTAGATTAATAGTATATGGCAAATGATGCATGAGAAACGAAGGACTCCCCTTAGAGGTGCCCCTCCTGTCAATGCTCTTAAACATGAAGTCATCAGGATCTCTTAGATTCAAAGAGATATCAGAATTCAAGGGGACTTTCTTCAGACATAAATATACACACATACAGTATCATTTCTGTCTATTTCTGTACCTGGTTCTTCCATTACAAAACTAAAAAACGTGACATTTCTTGTGTATACAAAGTTAAAAATGTACTTCTTAAAAAATGCAAACATAATGGCGACCTGCTATAATGTGTACATTATGTTCTACACAAAGAAAATAGACTCTTGAGTACACACAAAAACTCATTAAGGTTAAATTAACCCAACTCCTCAAATTAATACACTGGTCCTTTTGATCTCAGAAGGCGCCTTTGCCTTTTCCCCCCCTGACTTTTTTTTGGTAGTATACTGAAAGCTTGTTTTTATATATAATCTCATAGAAAAATCTTCACCTGCAAATATAAGGTAGAATTTTTTCACAGCTATAGGCTGTAGCATTGATTTCTCCAGATATATCAATGGAGAACAAAGAACATGTATGACACTGTTAATTCCAGATTCTAAGGAAACTGTCCCAAGAGCCTGTTGCCACAGCCATGCCATCATCAGTTACACCTAAGCAGCTCACACGGTTGTCATGACCAGCAAGGACACCTGAAAAAAAATTCAGTAAAAAATTAGCAATTTTAGAGTTTTAGAATTAAACAAGTATATGCAGAGATTTAAAAGGGTACTTAAAAACTATCAGTCCAGTCTGAAAGCTCATCAGTTAAAAAATGATAATACTTTAAAAGAAAACAAATTTCTCTGAGTAAGAAGACAGGTTAGAAGTAAGCTGGATGTATTTATAAATTTGGATTATTTGAATTTTGACATGTGCCTCAATTTGTGGTTTTATTTTTTGAAAAATCATTTTATAATTCAACTTATCTAGGAAAACATATGCAGACAATTATTCCACATCTTTAATAAGTTCATGATATTCCAAATTTTGCTACTGAGCTATGCTATTTTCAACAAAAACAAGATTTTCAATGAAGTTCACTGAAGTAGTCCTTCACCACAGGAACAATAAAAACATAAGAATAAAGCTGCCTTACATCACTGCTTTCAAAAATACCAACATAATTTATTTACTTTCTTATGCTAATCACCAAACTCTGGAATGTTATTGGTCATAACCTTCTGAAACCATGAAACTCATCTAGTTTTCATTTCTTTCACATATTAAACTCACTTGATGTATTTCCAATATTTGGGAGGAAAACAAGAAATACAATAAGATTAATAAGAAAAATCAGAATATATCAAATGCTCAAAAATTTTTTAAAATACACTATGTTTGAATTTACATTATCCCCCTATATTCGTAAGTATATCATTTTCGATCAATCATCTCAGGAAAAGAAGTTCATCTTGTCTAACTCTAAATATTCTCTATAGTATCTCCAGTAATGGCCATGTTTGACAATGGGAAAATTTACCATTATGAGTTGAAATAACAAAAAAATATGAACATTGTGGGTAAATACTTTAAGTCACATTGGACAGGGAAATGAATTAGCAATTCCCAAGTCAGGATCCAATTTTAAGTTCAAAGTTCCAGTTGAGCCAACTTGAAACCAGCTTGTAAGTAAAGCAAAACTAAAACTCAAGCATGTAAGTGTGGACAACAAGCACATTTTTATTTTGTTATGGATACGAATTGTTTCAATCCAGGCAAAACACCAAATATCTTTACAAAGTAATTGGCTTTAAGCAACAGAATACTTCCAGGAATCTACTTGCAAAGTATAAAACTGCAAACCATGCAGCCTCTTAAAAGAGGTTGTAGAAAATTATTCCTGGAAAAAACTTACACTGCCTCTGTTACCTCAGGAACCCCAACAACTGCATAGGGGGGTTAAAAGGGTAAGGACATAAATCCACAAGGACAGTGAGATGAGAGCAGACAATGGCAACCAACTTTTGTAAGTTGGATGGTGGCAACTGTGTTAATGAACACCAAAATAGTGAGTTCAAAATGAATAATATAGTAAGCCAAGTAACAAAATTACACTGCAGATTCTCCAAAAGCATCCCTACTAGGTGGAAACAGGTATCTCTGGAACAGGTAGGGGCAAAGGCAGAGAAAAATAAGATTGCACTGGAAAATGTTCATCAATCAGTAAGACCCCCCAGGTGTCCTCTTCCTCCACTCTGCAGAGTCAGGTGACGGATCATCCTGTGCTGTGGCATAAGACTAGAGACTCACTCAGTGGAAAGGGTAAAACAGGGTCTCCTGACTGGAAGAAAACAGACCCAGATGAGATTGGTAAACTGCTGAAATGGGAAATAACGGAAGTTTACTAGCTAAATGCTGTGGCCCCTCAGGTTTTCTCTAGAAATCAGCGCCCAAACTGGCAGCCAGTTTATACACTTCATGGAGGAAAGTGGAAGATGGAAAAAAGGAAGAAAGGCAGAAAGGCAGATGGGCAGACACAGGAAAGCTTCCTCAGTTAATGGCCAGCCAGATCACCCTTCAGGGAGGCCTAGAGTCAGCACACCAGCCATGTGCTCAGAGCTTCAAATGGTTTTAGTGCCTCACTCTTAAGTATGAATAAGAGCTAACACTTTTAAGGAAATACTCTAAAAATAAGGACAGGAAACCCCAAAAATGAAGGAAAAAAAAACGAAAAAAACTTGGCAACACAAAAGCTATGCTTGAAGAAGAAACTTGAAAAAAAATTTTTTCACTAATAAGCTCAGAGAAACACAAGACTTCATTTATGTATAAAAGTGTAGGGAGACCCCCTGAAACTACTGCTACAGAATAAAAGATGAAATGCTCCTGTGATTATTGTAAATACAAAATTGCACGCAGGATTGTGTAAAGACAATGCCAGGTGGGACTGCCAGAATGAGCCAACAGCACGTGATATGCTTCCTCCTGCAGAGAGCCTATGAACGGACGTGCAGTCAGGGAGGTTTCACATCACCAAGATTCCTATCCCAGAAAAGCAGATGTTCATAGCTCTGGGAATGGAATGCGACCCTCGTGGAGAGCCTATAAACGGACGCATGGGGAGCACCTGTCCATACAGATAAGATAGGGCTATGAACGCCCTCATCTTGCCATGGTTCTTCTAGGCCTCTTTAGGGTTAAGGCATACTCCCTTCTGGGAATTTCTGGTCTACCCGGTTGTCTAGCTTCACGTCTTCTTTCTATGGATTGTTTGTAATCAGCTTTTGCTGTAACTGTTACTGCTGATTAATATCTTGCTAATCATAGGTTATGGAAAGACTTTCTCTGTTTTAAGGCTCTGTTAGAAATTACTGATGCACACACTATATTGTAAATTATCTCTGTATACTGTACTTCTGCATACAGATGTTATGTTAAAGAACTACTTCATCCCCATGTGACCATCTCACCATCATCAAATGACCCTAAATCCCTCACTAACCTACCCCTGCCCTCACTAAACTTAATAATAAAATGCTGGTATATCCAGTGCATTGTTGGCACCGCGGGACCGGAAGGCGGTGATCCCCCAGACCCGGCTTTCACTATCTTGTGTGTGCCTATTATTTCTCGACCTGTCGATCCGCCTGGGAACAAAGAGAGAGCCCCGTTACATTGTGGGCTGCCGGCCAGATCCTGCAATATAAAAGAATGGGTGCCCAAAAAAAAAAAACAAAAAAA